GTTAATATTCACCCTCAAACTTTAAATACGAAAAAAAACCCATGTATTTAATTTCCTCATCATCTAACGGTTTCTCATGTTTCAGAAACTAAACAGTCCAAATGCTAAAGTTGTAGTATTCCTAAGTATATATCAGATTCATTAGATCATTAATTTAAGATACATATTGTTGGGCTTGATTAACATACTAACAGTGTATCATTAAAAATGACTCCCATTTATATTTCATGAAATCTTATATTAATTCAAAAACTTAATGTTGTTCTTGGAATCATTCCCTGGGGATCATGTTTGTCCCAGAGAAGTCATTTTCGTATTCCACAACAGTAGGATTATACCTCCTTCTTAACATAGTCTTAAATTGGCCAATGCATGTTTTTTAAAGTAGCACTTAGAAATCCAAAGTGCTTGATTCTGTTCGTTCTGCTCTGCATTTAATGTCGGATGGGAAAATGTCGGATGGGAAAAAATCCACAAATAAATATGCATGTGATAGATTGATTGCTCAGCCATGTTAAGCTCCATTTATACTATCAACATTTTATGTGAAATATATAGGATTTGCCCATTTTAATGCTGTCTCTTATACACATCTAGATGTGTATAAGAGACAGATTACGGCCATGTAACCGAACAAACTTGTTCTGTTTCCCGATGGCGAATAAGACCGCAGTTATGTCCGTTTGTGATCTCTACTATAAGTTTGGCACGGAGTTTAGCAAAAAAAATTATACTGCTGTGATGATACAGGACTTGGCAGGGACGTTAACTACCAATTTCACCTGGTATTTCCCCTGTCTCTTATACACATCTAGATGTGTATAAGAGACAGCGCACAATGAAACAGATACGCAATCGGTTTGAAGATGCATCATGTATAGATGGTCAAAAAACTACAAGATGCAATTTTCATAATTCAGTTTGAACCAATGATACAATTTTTGCATCTCTTCTCAGGTGATCTTTGTACAAATTTACTTCAGTGTTTAGTTGATATATCTTATATAAATATTTATAAATATATGTATACTAATGTTTTACCTATATATGTATACACATACATTTATATTACATTAACATAAATTAACAGCATGGGTGACACAAAATTTTTACATTTTATGTGTAGTTATATATATACGTGTATACATATATATATATATATATACGTGTATATATAGGTGTATACGTATATGTGTATATGTATATATATGTACGTATATGTACTTTTTTTATATAAGTCATGTATCATGCATAGGAACGTTGACGCCTGCAAGGCTCTGGTTTTTCATTTTAAAACATTTTATTTATTTATTTTTTTTCAATTTTAAGACATTTTGATTTTGTACAAATGAACCTTCTAAATAATAATTTTTTTGTACACATAAACATCCTAATCATTTAAAGCCGCATTCCCGGCAAGATGTCAGTTGTTAAGAAAAATCTTATTTTTGTATAATATGTTATAAAGATTTTTAAATGTAATTCAAAATTGCTAATTTAACTGAATTTAGACATTCTAAACATGAAAAAATGTAAAATAAGACAAAAATTTGATTTTTTTGTGTTCCACACAAAAAAAAATGTAGATGGATTTTTCATGTTTAATTTTGCGATAGGTCTGCGAAGAAACATGGGCACCGAAAACATTAGCCTATCCAACACTGCTAGGCTAGGCCTAGCCTTACCTCGATTTAGGTTTTGTTATTACACATAAAAATGGCTGACATGATATTTTTCGTTGCTAGTATTGACACTTGTAAATTATAATATTTCATAGGAATTATTAAAATCTGTTAAAAAAATTATTCTGTATCTTATCTTCAAATTTATTATCATGATTTTTACCAAACTGTACATGCATTAAAGCACATGTATGGAAAAGCATGTTGTTCCCTATTCGAATTTATGGCTGTCAATGTATTAACACCAATACAAATTACCTAAACAAATTAGAAACTACAAAGAATCAGCTTATTAAAGCAACAATTGGTCTTCACAAATACTGTAAAACTACACCTCTGTTACACGCATTAAGCGTTCCAAAATAAATATACTAACTTCGCATTAGCTGGACCTTGTATGTCAAACTATAAATAATACAACTAAGGCGAGAGTTTTTTAAGTTCACCTTCTTAACAATCAGTTTTCTTATTTTAGTCATGCTGCTTTTCGTTGATTGATTGTTTTGTGGTGGCTCAGTCTTAAAGCCTATCTTGGCTTAATGGATTCACCACACATAATACATCGTGTAGAGGTCCATCGTTATGTTATATCCAATTGATGTATTTTTTAATGTTTTATGTGAAACTCTGATTAAACTGAAACTGAAAATAATGGAATCGCCCGCCGTATTCAGGCCCATTGTTTCATTACATGCTGCCTGAATACATGAGGCCATTCCATTATTTTTGTTTATTGTCGAGGGTAAATATAAAATTGAAATTTGGTGATCATGACTTAGTCCTTTGACCCTTTCTTCTGAAATTGAAAGATGTCTTTTTTTTTTTAATTATATACCATTCCACTAAATTTTATGGTGATCCATTCATTAGTTGGTTTGCGAATCGACCTGATTTTGACTTTTGCAATTATATATTTAATTAAACTTATCGTAGCAACTTCAAATGTTCCATTAAGAACATTGACTGTTGTAATCACGACATCTTTGACAGTATTAAAACGATTCTATATAAAAATCTGTTTTCTGGCATCTTGTCGATGTGTTGCTCACTCATCCAGAACACTACTCCTTTTTATATAGTGTTTTTTTATTATTTAATTTTTAATTAGTTAAGTAAATGTATTTTTAATGTACTGTATGTACGGTATGTTTTATCTTCCTTCTTGGAGGTTTTGATAAGTAAAAGAAATAATTAAATGAAATGAAGTATTAACTACACAGAATTTGGTAAAATATGTATTAAAATTTTATTTACTATGAATTTCTTTTTCTCAAGCTATAATTGTAAAATCAAGGCAATGGAGAAGGGAGAAGGTGATAAGATAAACTTTCTTGAAAGTGAACTTAGACCTGCAGAGCTGAAGCTGAGACAGACGGAGCTGTTCAAGGGAGAACTTGACTTTTATAGTGAGTTTATTCTTTGATATCATTCAGTACTATCAATTTATGACTGAGACACTTTATTTATTCATATTTCAGCCAAGATGAGCAAAAGTACAAAACAATCAAATAAAAAAAAAGGCAAGGAGAAACCAAACAGGCAAAAGGCAAATGCGTGCAGAACACCTATACAAAGTTGGTCAACCCTAAACAAATAACATTACAAAAATACAAAAAATAACTATATTTTCAGTATATTAGGTTTTTATTTTATCTTCCAATAAAGAAGCTAACTAGAGCAGTCACTCACAGAGTGCATACTGCTGCTCAGTGCCTGAATACAGTACCAACAATACGCAGGCCGTAAATGATGGGCAAAACTGCAGCATTCAGTCAATTAAATAATGGAATCGCCTGTCGTATTCAGGCACATTTTTTTCTTGAGTGCTGCAGGTTACCCTCAGGTGACCAACGATCAGCTTCCTCCTCAATTTAACTTGTTTTTTACAAATTTCAGTGAACTTCATTGTTTATGCTGTGAATTAAACCCATGAAATAAAACTAACCTCTATGGCCACCAACTAATTTTGTAGTTGTTGTGATTACTATACACAGTTAAGAGTGCTTTTTAGTTCCTATGCATGTAATGCAATAGGAACTATTGTAATCACTTTCACTGTTATTACTTTGTGTTTTATTGTGTGTAGTATGTGTGTGCGTGTGTGTAGACATTTATGCAAATGCGCATGCGTCAAAGAAAAGTTTTCAGACATTTTGTTTTACTTTGCGATGCGAAGTTCGATGTGAAGTTTCTGCAGTGTTCAGTCAGGGTTCACGCTAACCGATCGGCAAGTCAGCATAGATGAAACTATTTTGGTTTTACGGCAAAAAAAAATCAACTGCTGTGGCATATTTTGAAGAAGGCCTAAAATAAAACAAAAAGGTTTTAATACTTGCTGAAATGCATCGTTTTTTCATTTAGATCTCCATTTTTCACTAACTCCATGCGACGTTTTTTTCTGTCGTGTAGTCCATAGAGCTATTAAACAACTAGAGTGTTGACAAGATGGCGCAGCAATGCAGAATTATGTATGTGTACCATCCATAGAGATATAATAAGAATAATTATTATAATAATGACAAATTTCGATCTTTGTGCAATCCTTTTCTCTTTTTTTTGATCTGCTTGTTATGATGTTTTTTGATCTTTTTTATATTAGTATTCATAACTAAATAAATTAATAGTAATAATAATAACAATAATAATAATGACGAATTGGATAGGATATCGATCCTTATGCAATATTTTTCTCTTTTTTGATGTACTTGTTTTTTTATCTTTGCTGTTTGATTGATTTTTTTAATGGTTTTAATTGTTAACATAATTCGCAATTCAGCCTTTTGGCTGCTATGTTTTATGTCTTAATTTGAATTTTGAATTTTGAATAAATATACCATTTTGAATGAATATACACGTATATATACGTATATATATACATAATATATATATGTATATATATATACGTGTATATATATATATATATATATAATATATACGTATAATATACATGCGTGTATACATGCACACGCGTGTATCATGCATAGGAACGTTGACGCCTGCAAGGCTCTGGTTGTATTGTATGCATAGAGTACCACAGTCGTGTTGTCATGACGCCAGGTGGCGCTCTCTGTTGTCAACAGACGTTGATTATCATTCATTATGACTCAATGACTTCATACTATTTTTAAATTTGCACTAGTTACTAAACTTGTGGTAGCCCCTGTGTGTTCGCTGAACCGTGGAGATCTCAAGGTCCCCGGTTTAATTCTCATCACTGCTTCTCCTGGTGTTTCAGCTAGAGGGCTGAAATACAAGTTACAATAGCGCACTCTATTTCGGATGAGATGTTTAAGCCGTTGGTCCTGTGTGCATTGATGCCCCATGTGCACGTTAAAGAACGCAGTACACTCTTCGGTAAAGAGTAGGGGATTGTCTCCCGGTGTACTGCCAATCACCACCAGAAGGACCCCACTGGAAATAAGTCTTCTTCTAGACTTTCGTGGGCTATCCTTGGTGTTTACACCGAATAAATCCAATCCAATTTTAGTACCTGCAGCATGTGAATATGCTAATTGCTGATTTGCATAATTTTTCACTAATCAAGGAAATTTGCACTATTTACTACGATAACTAAAGTTTAGATAAGTCTGATTGGTTTCAAACTTTGCTTAATTAAAGATGGTGATACAGTGACGGAGCCTATTTTATTTTTTTCATACGTGTCTGAATATTGTAATTGCTCATTTGCATAAATATCTCACAAATCAGGAAATTTACGTTAAATGCTAACATAGTAAAAAGTAAAAAAAAAAGTAAAAAAAGTAAAAGGTTTCAAATCTAGTTGAAATTGTCAAGATGGTAATAAAGTGATGGAGCTGTGAATATGTGCTATTTGCTCATATGCATAATTAATATTTCCAATATCATTCATCATCATTATGCCTGTCAACTCCCGGTGAAGCAAAGGCCACAGACAACCTCCTTCCATTCCCTTCTGTTCTGAGCAAGTCTGGTGATAGTATTCCAGTTATGTCCAATTTTCTTCACCTCCTCTCCCCATGTCCTCTGCCGGGTTTTTCTTGGCCTTCCCCGCTTTCGTTTTCCTTGAGGGTTCCATTGTAGTGCTCTTCCTGTGATTTTGTAGACTCCTTTCTTAGAGTATGCCCTATCCAAGTCCATTTTCTTTTCTTTAGTTGATTTATGGGTGCCATCTGACTTCCCCGCTTTTTTTTTTTTTTTCCAATATGCTAGTTACAAAAAAATGCAAAATGCAAGATAGTAATAAAGTGTCAATGCCGGCGCCAGTGGAGGGGCAGGGGAATTAAGCCCCCCTCCCATCAGTTTTGTCAAGCCCGCCCCATCGGCAAAAGCTCGTCGGGCAGTCAGACCAGAAAAAAAAAAATACAGGCCTAGTTTTCCCATCCCAGCCATTTAGAAGTCCCAATTTTTTTTTAAATCTTGTTGTATGAAGAGTGGACATCCCCTCCCATACCCACCTCCGGCTCTTAGTTGAAATTGTAATATTCGTTAATGTTGTCATTGTCACTGTTGTAGTAAATTTGTTGTTACCACGATAACTAAAGTTTGGAAAGTCTAATTGGTTTTAAACTCTTACTTATCAATTCTCACTCTCAGAGAAAAATCACCTTGGGGAAAGCTATGCCTTTACTGCGCAGCGTAAAAATGTGTTTAAAGTACATTTAACAGCTAATTCTATAAATGCAATTGTTATATTTTATAGACTGTCATATTCATGTTTTCTTTAAAACTTTAACTTTCAGAGAAAGAGAACCAGCAGTACAAAACAAAAGCTGAGAATTTGCAGAAGGATTTGACTAAGGCTCGCACTGACGCAAACAAGTGTGATCTGGAAAGACAAGCTAATGAAACTTGGAAGATGAAGAAAGAGTTTGAGAAGGAAATTACAGATTTGTCAAATAAGGTAAGCAGATAGTATTGTAGTGATGCTCTCTTGTTTTACTCTATAGAGCACAACATTTGTGTCGTTACAACACCAGATGGATTGGATTGGATTTGATTTATTCGGTGTAAACACCAAGGATAGCCCACGAAAGTCTAGAAGAACACTTTTTCCAGTGGGTTCCTTCTGGTGGTGATTGGAAGAGTGTATTGCATTATTTTAACGTGCACATAGGCCATAAATGCACACAGGACCAACGGCTTAAACGTCTCATCCGAAAGACGGTGCGCTGTCGTAATTTGTATTTCAGCCCTCCAGCTAAAACACAAGGAAAGTAGCAATGGGAATTGAACCGGGAACCTAGAGATCTCCACGGTTCAGTGCACACACAGTGGCTACCACCAGATTAGCCGACTGAGCTAAGCTGCTCTCTCCTTGGTGGTGCCCTTTGTTGTCAACCAGATGTTGGTTACCGTTCATTACGCCTGAATGACTTTATAATCTTAATGGTTTACAATAGACTTTCTGGAAAAGGCTTTTTAAAACCTAATAATTTACCATCAAAATGTACTAAAAACACAATAGCTCATATTATATTAGTTATAGAACACACATTTAATCATCAATTAACATTTACAAAGAAAAACTAGGATACAACATCTTAATAATTATGTCAGAAATTGGGATCAGTGGTTTATCAGTGGAGAAAATGGCATGCGGTTGAACGCATTCTGTGTCGCCGATAGCAACAGAGTAGTATCACATGGTATCATGACGTAACACTGTAGTACTCTATAGGTTGTTGGTATATGTATGTGATGTCCATATCATTAAATTCCCCATGTTCATGGTTAAACAAAAGAACTGAAACATGAAACATAAGACTGCATATCGGTTTCCCAATACTACAAAGGTGGACCCAAAATATTGTAACCCACATTTTCATCCTTGCTATAAATAATATTTGGTAAAATAGGATATAATTTGCACTGTTTTTGGGTGTTCACATACTTATAATAGAAAAGAACAAAAATAAGTTTTAAACCCACTGTTTCTTGCTAATTTCTTATATTATTCTTTACCACATCTAGTCACTATTGATGGTGATTATTACTTGTATTTTATAATCATATTCATAGCATTTATTTTTTAAATTATCGAAAGCTCAACTAAAATGTCAAATTTTCACCATAAAAAATTTATATTTTTTTGCGTAGTGTTTAAATAGACAAATCAGTTTGACCTTTGACCCATTTATATGGCCATCCCTGCTGTAAATGTTGGTAGCCACTACAACATGTGCGCTGAACTTTGAAATATCAATTATTTTTTATTTACTATTGACCATTTTTTATTCTAGATTTTAATGCTGGAAACCAAGAATGACAACATGAAGAGCAGTCTAGAAGAACAGCGTACAAAAGCGATTACTAGCAGTAATAAGCTAACAGAAGAACGAGATGCAAAGGAACGTTTAGCCAAATATGTAGTTTTCCTGAAATCACAGGTATACTACAATTGGTGTAATCTTTAGAAGCAAATTGAGCGCTGAGGATTTCCTCACAGTGTATACACTGCACATCAGCTGTCAGAGGTCTCCTGTGTCATAGTTAAGGTTTTCGGCTCAACTAGAACTAATAATAATAGTAAAAAGTTTCCTATTAGATCATGTTTATTTCTCTAGGTATTGCGTATTGCAAGAAATATTAATATAAACTCAACTTACATTGTTATGGACAACCACCTCCATTAGCTTAAAATTGATCTTTTTGACAATTAGAAAATCAAAGGTGTAAGTATACCAGCTTTATATCATAGTTAAGCAGGTTGGGCTACCAACGGTAATTAGAGGGTCTGAGGTACAAATCCCAAATGGCGACAGTACATTTTTTTGAAAAAGTTAAACTCACACTATCAAATTTTATGTGAAAAGTAACTATGGTATGCCCGTATTTGACTGATAATATGACTTCTTCATGGCCATATATGGGCAGGCACATCACACACATTTTACACAAAAAAACTTTGAAAGTTTATATATAGAGCATACGGTAGACTGATCATTAGAAAGTATTGTGCAAACTTAATCTAATTATATGGAACTGTTCTTGCTATATCCTACTTTAATAATATAAATACATACTAACAGTATTGCATATACTGTTTTGCATAGACCCTTAATAGTCAGTAGGTATGTGGCCTCAGTATTACATTTTAAATAGAAAGCTACTGGAACCTCCTTTTATCTTTGGAAATTTTTATTTCAGCTTTCACCGCCAATAAGAGGTCATAAACGAAAGAGAGATAACATTGATGGCCTGAAAAAGCCCTCAAAGGTTAGCATACTCAAGGCATACATTGGTGAAAATTCTATATGTCAACTGTCGATGATAAATTTAGATTAGACATTGTAGGACTGGCAATTGTTTCCCTAAAATTTAATTTAATTTTTATTGCTACATTAGCTATCAAGGGCTTTAATCCACCCATAACAAGCAGTACAAATACAAGGGACAAAAAATATAATATAATGTATGCTTATAGGAAGTATGTATTATGGGTAGGGGCATTACTCCACTCAGGTCCTGATGACACACATACCCACACATACCCACCCAAATCAAACTATGAGTCAAGGGATAGTAACGCACTGAAGTCCTAATGACCTGCATAACCCAACCTAATCAGACTATGCATCAAGAGGTAGCGATGCTACCGTTTTAGACCTGCAGACCCTCATAAACTTATTAAAGCCTGCTATATATTTGATCTAACAAAAAAGAAAATAATTGATTGATATATAAATATATTACTGTTTAATTTTGATATCTGCCTGCTGATAGAATTGGAATATGCCTCAATTAAATGAGCATTATTATAATTTATTCAATTTGTTAATTCATCAAAAAGCATACTTGATAAAATCAACACTGAGAAATAACAAAAAGAACAAAAAAAATAAATACAAAAGTAATATGTTATAATATTATTACAAATTAAAAAAGTAACATCATTAGATTTTGTTTAAGTTTAAACATCAATTTACTAGTTTTTTTTTTATATTATTGATCTTAGTTAAGACTGACAAAGTTGAAATTAATATTAAATAAAATTATTTAATAAAACTTTTCAACAATATAAAACACTGCCAGCCAGAGGCTGAACTGAGAATTATATGTTGTATAAATATTACAAATTACTTTCTTTCATAGCGCAAACCGGAAGATGTGGGTGACTAAATGAGGAGAAACTTGAGGTAATGTAATGTGTTTTAATTTATACTTCTGAATAATATGTAGCTTTCAACTTGATTTACATCAATATTTGTTGATATAATATACCAACATTTTGGTATATTAGTATAAAAGTGTTGGTTTTACTGTGTCTAAATTGAATTCTTGAGGAGTTTTTTTTTTTCAAAAATTTCTTTTTCCGGACATTAAAATATCAAGCTGAGTATGCACAGTGGGGTAAATGAGGAGAAACCAAATGAAATATGTTAATGACGATGACACCTATGGTGTGATAAATTATGGTCATTTGCATATTAGTATGTATGATGGTTTTTTGCTGTCTTTCAGAATGTAGGCTATAACTTTTTAATTTGGAAACCTTTTTTAAACAAATACGTGTACTGTAATGTTATTTCGTCAACAAAGGGAGAATTTAACTCCTTTTTCACATCATGTGCATATTCATGATTATAGACCATAATATGAAGTACACATTGCTATATTATTAAGTGAATAGTTAAGAGTTTTTTTAAATAGATTGAGTTGAGAAACAATTTTGTTTGTCTGGCTAAATAATTTTGCTATTAAAAAATGTTTTTGTCTTGCTCTTTAGGTGACTGATCAGCAACTGTCTTTCGATAGAGAAGAGTCCCTTTCCGGACAACTACTGGTTAAGACCTTGGTTGATGATCAATCACTTACTGTCAAACCAAGTCTCATGTATTTAGAGTGAGGTCTGTTTGAAGCTGTCATGCTTAGGGACCAAAATCTCGCACATTTATACTACAGGTCTCCCTCCAATTAAAGACCATGTTTGGGTTTTAATGGTCTTTACTTTAACAGCTTTGGTCTCTAATTGCAATAATAAAAATAAAAAGCATTTTTTTAAATGGAACCACAGAAAACTGATCTTTAATTGGAGGTTGTCTTTAATTAATGGGGTTTTAGAGGTAGACCCGCATTTGTAACCTACTGAAACAATAATTAATTAATAATCTTAAAGGAGGAGATGTAAACAGATCGTATGTTATCAGGTAATACGCACAACATGCACACAAATGCGTCGTTGTTCTGTAACAGGCAGTTTGTATATAAATGAACTCAGAAAGGTTCTGTTGATTATACTTTGAACAATATTGCCAAATCATTCCTGATATTGCCTATTTCCAAATCATTCCTGATATTTGCCAAATTCATTAGTAAAAGTATTATGGCTTTTCTGTACTTTAGTATACAATACTGCCGCTACTTAATAATATGTACTATAATGTTTTTTAACAAGTAATTTATGTTTGGACATACCATCAAAATTTGAAATATTTTGACATATTGAGGTTAAAAGAAACTTGACAATTTGCTAGATTGCAGCTATCATTCTCAAATATTGATAGTACATCAAGTTGAATGGTCGTGCAGTTAAGGCAGGGGTGCTGCAACCTACAGCAATAATATAGGCGCTGGTTTGAATAGCATGCTCACCTGTGGTTTTGGATACTCTTCATAACACTCTTAATATCATGACTGTTTCTCAAAGAATGTCATTCCAACTTGGCTATGTTGCCCACCGAGCCTCCAGACTATCTCTGCCATATAACTAGGATGTCCTATCACAAGCGGTAATTATTATTTTGTTCCTAACCCTAAATATGAATTATGTAAAATTTGTTTTATTTATAGAGCAGTTATATTAAATTAGTCTTCTCGGATACGGACTATAAACCGTAGGTCCAGTGTACACAATTTGCTCGTGCACTATAAAGAACCGGTACGTCTTTCATGATGAATAGTGGGTTGCAACTCACACAAAGAGACCTCTTAGGGGAGAAGAAAGTGAGTGTATGAGCTAGTCCATGCTCCGTTGTTACAAACTGTATTGTAGTCATCATGGACCTACAAACTAGGCTAAGCCTGGTTAAAAAATGTTTTTACTAATAGTCTTTCACTAAATGCATCCATATAGTTCTGGTCTATATGCTAGGCTGCAAAAAGGATACTGCTATGCCTAGGATTGGGGGATCTAATCTTTGTGTCATCCCACCAATCGCAAAATCCATTTGCTCTATTTGTGTAATTGTCTTAAGACTAAATAATGTAGTTTTACTCTTAACAATTTAGTAAAAGGTAAAAGTATATAATCAAAATGGTGTCGGTAAGATCATAGGCATAAGTACATAATTCAACAGACTATTGTTTTTGGTAGCCTTCTTGTATGTTGTTTGTTGTAGGACCATATGTGGCAAAGACAAGCCAAACCAGTCACTCATCACAAAAATCAATTTTTAGTTATTAATGCAGGGTTAAACAGTAAAATGAGAGTTATAAAATAGTAAAATAATTATTTTGTTGTGAAGTTACAGGAGTTTAAACACATAACTGTCTAAAAAACAATGTTTGAGAAATGAGCCTTCAAAGTGTTAGGTTTCAGGCATTTATATATAAGGTTAGTTTAGTGCAATAAAACAGATTTCAAAAATGTTGACATTTCAGCATGTTTTGGCTATTATCTCTAAAACAGGATTTGCGACGAGTGTCTGGTTTGGTTTTGTCTTTGCCATATATTGTAAAACAGACGATCTTGTCTGTACAGTTAAACTTGTCAAAGTTGACTTTGCCCAGCTCGAATAAGGCAATTATTCAATGTCATTTTGGATTCGACTTACAGTTGGAATAAAACCAGATATTGTCTGATCTTATAACTAGTTGTTTCATTTATGTCTTCAAATAATGAAAGTAAAAATGGAGTTTGCATTCTGCTGATAATCGAATGTGTTTGTGGATGTGCAGTACTATACTGTACTTTTGTAAGGGATTATTTGGACAACTGTTTGTGAAATTTTCAAGGGTCTTAGTCTTGTAGACACCCGTGAAGAGAACATAGGAGGGTCAGGCAAGAGTGAATCCGTTCTAGTTTCTGACCATCCTACTGTCCAATCAAAAGCATTGTTCATGCGCATTCACATTTCTATCGGAGTTCCTGCTTTAGGGAAATTGGTTGTTCAAAGTGTCTGCTTTTTGTGAAGCAAAAAATGTGCGCAACCAATAAGAGCTCAGGAACCGAACCGACGCTTCAATTCGCTCGTATAAATTCGCCTAGTTTACACAAAATAATATACTAACACAAATACAAAATATTTCTAATATGTATATTTACATATTCATATTCCCAATACTGTAATCGATGCTTACCATTGAAGAGATAGGCAAGCATAAAACACTACCAGTATACCAGTGTAGTATACAGTACATACACTTTTTTGGTCTTCAATTAATTCTCAACATTATCATTACTGTATTTTCAACAATAGTAAAAGCATTTTTATATTAAATATAGTACACCTGATTATTCCAAAAAACCCATATTTCAGTACCTTTAACAATCCAATAGTAGTAGAACTCAGTTACTTCCTTGTGTGAATGAATAAATGAATTGGAAGTCACTGTTTATTAATGATACAGTATTAAGTATTTACAATTAATGTTATACGTTTTGCAAAAATGTTCACAGCACTGAATCCAGGAATTCGAAATTGAGGGGACCAGGGTAGATCTATACCTGCTCAGCACTGCCTATGGTTGGTGGTGATGAGGTAGAAAATCAATGATTATGGCACTCTCAGACTTCATTTTGAATATAATTTTTTGTTCTATAATTTTGAAAAATTTCGGCCCCCCCCCCCCACCAACATACACATATTGTAGTAACATGTTGTACTTAGGTCTGTTCTATAAAATTTCTTGTAAGATTTTGATGTAGGTATAATATGAAGTTATTAAAAAAGGAAAATTTGGTAACATTTTAGGATCATATGACCACTAGTTATCATAATTTGAGTAATATTTTATTCTGGTTGAATAGTAAATTTTGCATAAACAGTTCATGGAAATAAAGTTTGTAGGAAGATGAAATAAATGACGTTAAAATTAATAAAGGATGGATTACCCACACGAAAGTACAAACAAAAGACGAGAGTTAATTTTAACTGAAAACTAGAACAATATTCGCAGAATCTCTTTACCTTAGGAAACAGCCAAGCAAAAGAGGCAAAATCTATTCCTTCAGTTATAGATATAAAGCGCTTATATTTATTACAAAACCAAGTGTATTGCAGTCAAAATCAAAAGTACCGTAAGCTGTTGTTTCAAACAATAAAATCCTGGTATTCAACCCCTGGCCCGTGGGCCAACTCCGGTCTGCAAGAGATTTTTTTGCGGTGCATTCTTGCTAAAATAAATAATCATTTTTCCGACCGATTTTCAGTAGGCCTAGAGAAAAGGGTTTTCCGTTAATGGAAACCCGACGACCTACTCTGGCATTGTTACCCGGTACTCGGCTTTTTCTGAGTGTAGCTCACTGTATCTAGGTTTAAACACTCTAAAACAAATTTCAAATTTCAAATTTCACTTCTTTTTTATTTTGTGGTTTTGGTTTCCGTTCCATCTTTACACTTGCCTGATAGCGCTTAGAGACTTTTGTATTTTGCGCTCTATAAATTAAAAAACAGTAACCATTAACCATTAAAAACAAGGGTACCCATACAAAAAAATTCTATAGAACGTTATAGACCTTCTATAGAGACTAATCAATTTCTACAGAAATTAGTATTTTCTATAAAATTGTTTTATAGAGGAACTAGTTTCTATAGAATTCTATAACATACTATATACACATATTTAATGTAATTT